TTGGAGTGAACACGGGTTGATGTATAGGGAATTATACTTATCAACATTTGAAAGATTATACAACGAGAAGAAATTGGTTAAGGGCTTTATTTCTAGAACTTATGCCATCTTGTGATCCAATTATGTGAAAAATAGGCTGAATTTTCAGTCTATTCTTACCTTTTGGAATAAATCTTCAGGGAAGACCTGTAAATTATTAATCTGTTCAAAAATAAATTAAAATGGATACATGATGGTCTCAAGATGGTTCTTTGTTCCGGCCAAACTGTGTTAACCTGGATCCATCACCTCTATGCTACAGGGGCCATGGCTGCATTGGAGCATACCCCCACATGTTGTGGATGTGTGCAAGGATTGTGGATTTATGTGAGAAGGTATTTCAACCTTTGAGCCAGATTCTTAAATATAAAAAATATAAGATATATATAAGACCATACCTTAAACTGGTCCTATTAAATGGTTCCTTCTTGGGCTTGCATCTAACCAGATCTAGTCTGAGATTGTGTCATAAGATTTGCATAGCATCATGTCTTTTTTTCACATCAAAATGTAAAGGAAAGGTGCCAGGTTTATGAAAGAGATTACAGGAAAGATGTTGGGTGGTCAAGTCTGCCATGATAAGATTTGGTCTATTTGGAGGAAGTCTGGACAACAATGTTGTAAGTTGAGAAGGGTGGTTGAAATTCAACAATATTTACCCTCTGTTTCAGTAAAGATAGACAGATTTGACCATGCCACTTCACAATGTTCTTGTCCACTCACTGTCACTTTTTGTTTTTCTCTTCTTCTTCTCTCTCTCTCTGTCTCCTTCTTTCTAAAGCTATTTTGTTATCTGTTGTGTCTACTCCCTATTTTGTATTATTGAGTGGTTCTTTATGTTGTGTCTAACATGTCTTTAAAATGTATATGTTGAGTCTATATGTGTTTGTTCATTTTCTCTTGAATAAATAGCCTTTTTAATTAATTAATTTATTTTACATGTTAAATGTTTTAATAATTAAATGTTCATCTTTGATACGTTTATCCACTGTATCACATTATTGCTTACTTCGCGTGGATTACTGTATTACGCTATGTTCATATGTTGATATTACTTCTATTGGTGCCTTTTTTACTGTACAATAATGTATTATGCTATGTTTATTGTTTTGGTGCCTTTTGCTCGTTCTCAATAACATTTTAACCTCTTAAGGACCAAACTTCTGGGATAAAATGGAATCATGACATGTCACACATGTCATATGTCCTTAAGGATTTAAATAAAAAAATTTTTTTTTTTTAATTAGCAGCCATTTATTGTAAAAATAATTCTGGTGCAAAATTCTGAATCTGGGAGAATCAGTAATAAATAATGTACAATCAAAACACAAATTGGAGAATATATCAAGAACAGCCAATAAAATTAGTTGTTTGGCATCCAGTGCTGAATTATATTTTTGGCAAGCTGCAATTAAAATGTTTTTGTTTCACTTCATTCTATTTTGTCTCTCTGCATTCCCCTCACCCTTTGTCTTCATTATCCAACTGCTTTTGTATGTTTTCTCCCAACACCTTTTCCCCCATTGTGTCTCTCCAAATGACTCATAATGCCCTCTATGTGTCTCCTAACTCCCCATCACCCCTTGTGTTTTTTCTAATCCACCATACCCTCTTTTATGTCTTTCACCCTACCTTACCTCTCTTTCCTCTTGGGTGTCTCTTAACCACCTTTCATTTTTGTGTGTTTCGTAAACCCTCCTTACACCTTTGTGTGTCCCTTAACCCACCCTCTTACCCCTTGTGTATTTCTTAATCCTTCTTTACTCTTTTAGTGTCTCTTAAAACCCCATTACCAAATACATAAATCCTAACCTCCCCTTACCCTTTAAACAATAAACAGTTGGTTAGAGCACACTACACACAATGACACTTTACCCTTAATTTTCAAAAAGTCTGTAATCTCCTGTATATGAAATATAAAAAACTGAAAAAAAACGCACATACTCACTCACTAAAAAATTGGGGTAAAAACAAACACTGGGTATAAATAAATAAGTCCACTGTACAAATAGGAAAGACTTGGCCCAGGCCAAAACGCGACTTTTGATAAAGGCCCAGGCCGAAACACGTCAAGTCTTTGCTATTTGCACAGTGGACTTCTTATTTATTTATACCCAGTGTTTGTTTTTACCCCAATTTTTTAGTGTGTCCAATAAACTTGTTATTTCAATCCCTTGCATCCTGGAATACTTAAATATATCACGGAAGGACTACGGAGGGGGAGCAGCCTGGTGTGTGGAGGCCACGTGTTGATATTATCCATGCCTGTAGTTTGAGCCAGCTTATGTTAAGTGGCTCAAAACCACGTGAGTGAAACCTTTTTAAGTCCAAGTCACAAATTAGACTTAAACGTTACTACTCTATGTGCGTTTTTTCCTGTTTTTTATATTAAATACACAGGAATAAATCAAACAATGATAAGGTTACAGACTTTTTGAAAATTTAGGGTAAAGTGTCATTGTGTGTAGTGTGCTCTCACCAACTGTTTATTGTTTATTATTCACTTGTATGTGTCTGAGTGACTCACGTAAGTGATTGAAGCACCCTTGTTCTTTATCTGGTCTATTTTTAACCTTATATATTATTTATTTATTCCCCTCACCCTTTATTGTCCTATAATGTCCAAATATCCCTTTATGTGTTTGTATACTCCTTCTTACACCTATGTTTTTCTCTTAACCCTCCCTATTACCCCCCGTGTGTCTCTTCATATACCTTTAAACGTTTTGTGTCTCTTACGAATATATACCATTTACCCAGGACATACTTGAAAACGAAAGAAATCTCAATGTTTCCATCCTGGTAAAAAATGTTATAAATAAATACATTTACCCTTGCATATAACTATTTTAAGCCCCACTTACCCTTTGCATTTATCTTAGCTCCTCTATTACTATTTGTAAATATTTTAAGATTTACCTTAGCTTTGCTTTTTTTAACCACTCCTATGTGTCTGTTGACCTCCATTCTCTTACTCTACCTCCTATTGTAGCATAGCTAAGTAGGATTGTGGTAGATGATCTTCATGTTCCCGTGCCTAGCGACAGAAAGCTATGAGCAGCATGCAGTGAGCCAACAGAGAGGCAGGTAAACCAATTTTAATTCTCTCTTGGCACACTGCTTGCACATCTCTCACAGTCTTTTCAGAGTACATTAAGATAATTTGCCAAAGTCCAACATGGTCACACTATGATGGATAATAGTGCGGGGAGTTGCTGGTTTATTTACTTTCTTATCCAGCTATTACCACAGGGTTGGTCTTCCCTTTTGTACAATACTGAGTGTTAAAATGCACCCAAATTAAATGCTCACTTAATAAAAGATTAATGTTGTACCTTCTACAATATACTGTTTATACATATGGGCATGGATGGAGAACTTTAACAATTTAAACAATCAAATGAAAAAGACAGGATCACTCACATTTACCCTATAATCTATAAATAGATCAAAAAGAAAAACTAATTTATATTTTTTTTAAATATGTAAGTAGTGATATTGGATGAAGGAACCTACCCAATTATATTGTTTAATTAATTTCCTTTGCAGCCAATGAAGTGAAGAAATATGGGTGAGACCATTTGTAGGATCCAACTAATTAAGTGGTCTTGGAGTGTTGTACATTTTTCTTCTTCCCTTTTTTGGGGGAGGGAAAATGGTTGTCACCTGTTAATGGACATCCATTTATTTTTTTGAATCTCTCCACGTTTTTAATGTAATCAATTTCTTTTCCTTTAGGTTACACCAGATAATAATTACACTTAGGAGAACAGATGGCTAGTATTTTTGTAAATGCAGTTATATTGGACATCAGATGTAGATATGTTAATTTGTTTGTAACTTCTATTTGCTTTGAGGTATATTTCCCTTATGGGGAATATTATATTGTAGGATGTATCCTAATTACCTGGTTGATGTGTAAAATGTGTTTAAAAGCTTTATTGTTCTCCTTTTATGAGTAAATATTGTGTTTTTTATTTCTAAAAGCTATGCTAATTCATACAGGACTATTATGTTCCTGGAGGTAGGCTAATAAAATGCAGATTCAGAAAGAAAATTGTCAGGCAGGTGCCTTAAATGGGTACTCATAATTGTCACAAAAACACATCCACTTTGCACATTACATTCTGAAATTGTAAATGGGATTTTTATATTCAACGTCCTTTCGTTTTACAGCAAGCTCCCTTCACACATATGGATTGATCTCATTCTCTCAAAGCATATAGTCCTTTAGTTCCATTATAACTCAAATAATTATTTGATGGTCGTTTTGACATATACTGTTGTTGTAAAATTGAGTCATTTCACTATGAGCATACTAAAAGTCACAATTTGTTCACCTACAATTAAGTTTCTTTAACAATAAAATGTGTTTTTTTATGTTTTAGCGAGCATTCAAATAATATTAGTGCCGTATGTGTGCTTTTTTTCGTAATTCATTTTTTCCAATATGGAGAGAATAAGCTGTAATGCATTATGTTTTGATTTTTTTAGATTATAAAAGTGGCAAATCTCTATGATATAAATCTAATGTTTATATACATTACCATTTTATTTGTATATTTCAGCAATGAGTTGTAAAATAATAACACATTACATATGTTCTCCCTTAATACAAAAATCAGTTACTGTCAATATTATAATAGAATAAAAACACGTGTGTATGTGTTTGTGCAAATATGTATTATAATACCTAATTATCTAAAGTATATTTAACACTCAAAACACCTTAATGCAAGAAGCATGGTAGTCAATGTTAACAGTTAACACAAGATATGATTTTGCTACAAATGCTCGATGATCTGTATGGCAGTGTGTGATTATTAGTTCCTAGTCTTAGCAGTCTTCATAAGTTAATGGATTACATCTCGTAAAAAAGTTCATATAAAAAGTGTAAAACTTAGTAAAATGTTTTGGTTTTTTTAAATAGGGGCGGAGCCTATGCCTCATGCTGACCAGACATGTATCAAGGGAGCTCCAGCTTGGCTCACCAATTGATTAGGGCAATCATCAGCCACTACACCCAAATCGAGGTGATTCCACACTGCCTAAATGGGTGCTGTGGAGAACCCACCAATACCTTACTCGGAACCCTCCGACTTCGGCGAGACAGAGGGAGCTTGCTGAGGCCTACGGATGCCTGGGCTGGGGAAGGATGGCCAACTTTCCCGCTCTCAAGTTTCAAGTGTGGGCTACCTTCTCTCCGACCCCCCTCCCCAGGACCGATAGGGGTTATCCCGGTCCCTGTTGGGCTGATCCACAAAATTCTGATATCAACACGGACAGCTCCTGCAACTAAAGAGCACATATCAAAGCTTGCCAAAATGGCAGGGAGGCCTTCCCTGATGCCACAGAGCCTCACACTAACCTGCGCTGAAGAAAGCAGCATCACGGTGTGCCCCTTGCTGAGACTATATGCAATATTCCAGGACTTCTGGGCCCGACTGGGCAGGCGATTGGTGACAGAATCTCTGCTGCCTCAAGCTCACAACCAAGTTTGAGGACAAAATCTACTATCTAGCAGACCGCCTCAGGGAGACAAGCTCCGGCAGCATCCTGCCCCTCTGCCAGCATACAAACCCAAGCCACGGAACAACAGGGGCTCGACCCCTTTCCATCTGCCGAGAGGGGGGGGTCAGCTTCGATGGCATAGAGCTGAGCTTCATCACCTGTGGGTCGGGAGACCACGCTCCAACACAGCTGGCAGCAGAGTGTCACACTCCAGCTACAGCCCCAGTGGAGACCTGCAAGCCATCTGTACCAGCAGAAGCATCTGTGGACTTTACAGATCCGGACTTTCAGTGATCAAGCCCGCAAGATGGAGCAACCGACTTATGCCCTAATCCAGAGAAGTGAGGATGCCCTGACCTGACATTGCCAAGCTGCAACCCTCTACGTACTGCCATATTCCACACTAGGCCTGCTGATAGTGGGAGTAGGATGACACCGTGACCTCAACAGAAAATAGACCCTCTCCCCAAGCACGTGATCCCAGAGGCAATCTTGTTGTGTTTTATTTTGGCCCTTTCTATTTAGTTGTTCAGCTAAACCGCTTAACATTCATATTATTTTATGCAGACCAAATGGAGCTGTGAACCCATATCCCAGGTCAGCACCAGCAGTATCACAGTTGTTAGACTAGCCTGTTTCTTACATGCCTAATCCTATTCTCTCGCCCACTGGCCCACGAAGCTCTATTGCAAACCGATCGCACCGTAGCTCCTCATCATTTATTATCTTAATTGTGCATAGAAATAACTACTATTTTAGTGAGCCCTCACTGGTGGGTTGGTATTAACCTTTAATAGACTGGTCTCAGGCATAGAAAACAGCTGATACCCTAAAAGGTAAATCAGCTGAATGTGTGTCCGGGGCAACCTGACTTGGGGGATAACCCTCACATACGTATTTATGAGAAAAAAGAGAAAGGAAGACCTAGGGGAAAAAGGGGAAAAAAAGGGGGGAGAAGAAAGGAGCACACCCCCCTACCCCGATCCACAAGGTCAACCAACTAGGAAACCCCTAGAATAAATGCTAAAACTTAACCTTTAATCGAAAAAATAAAAATTGTGAGATACATATAAAGATAAAATAAAATGGAAAGAGAGGGAGCAAATAGAAAAATGAGGTATGAATAGAATCCACTAGGGTCGCCTAATGGTAATAATTGGTCGGCTGGAATAGCAGTTAAGCATACCCTTATACAGGCTAATAAATAGAGGGGGCTGGAATAAACAGTGGGGTAGAAAAAAGGGGAGAATTGTATAATTGAAACAGCTCCCTATAAAAACTTGCAGTGCAGACAACAATCGGACTATAAATCTCTGCCAAAAGAAAAAGATAGAGATCCTTGTCTGAAGTGCCACAAAATATCAATGATGAAAAACACTGTTGATTGCTACAAATAGATGTACATATTGACTAACAAAAAGGGAAGAAAATAAATATGTATCCCTTTATTAAATTCACAGAGCAACCCCCAGAGAGTGAAAAGGTGCATAAAAAGTCGACACAGCTTACTGCTAGACCTATTGTTTCAGGGTCAAATAATTTGACGAGCAGGGCCAGCATGTAAGTAGACAAAATATCATTTGTAGAAAAGCTACCCTCATATTTGAGAGATACCAAGGACACATTAAAATGTCTGGCCTCTCTCAATGTTCCAAGTGGAGCTTTACTGTGTAGTATTGATGTTGAGGCCCTTTACTCGTCCATACCCCACTGTTTAGGTCTAGCACATACTAGATTCTATCTTGAAACACAGGGTTTGATACATGAACGTCATACTCAATTTGTGATTGATTTGTTGAAATTTGTATTGACCCATAATTTTTTGATGGTCAATTTTACCACCAGGTGCAGGGTACGGCTATAGGTACGTCTTGTGCCCCATCATATGCCAACCTGCACCTAGAATGGTGGGGGGAAAATGTTGTGTTCTCGAATACAAATACTGAGTTCACAAAATATATCTTTCTATGGAAAAGATATATCGATTATGTCCTCGTTGTCTGGACGGGCACGGGGGACTCCTTCACGTCCTTCGTGAAAAGATTGAACTCCAATGATTTTAACTTAAAATTCACTATGGAGATTGGTGGATCCTCTTTGAATTTCCTGGACTGTACCTTGAAAATTTCCAAAGGTTTGGAGGTTGAGACCACTCTTTATATGAAACCCACTTTGACTAACACCATGTTGAGGTGGGAAAGTCATCATCCTGCTACACTCAAGAAGGGTATTCCAATTGGACAATATCTCCGTCTGAGGAGAAATTGTTCTACTATGGAAGATTTTATTGATCAGGCTAAACTCCTTAGAAATAGGTTCAAGGAGAGGGTTTATCCTAATCGATGCCTCAAGCGAGCATATCAGAAGGCTCTTTTGAGTGATAGATCTGAACTTCTAAAAGATAAGGTAACATCATCCAAACAGGAACCCATTCGATGTATAGCTACGTTTGGGATCAAACCAAACATATACTGGGTAAATTTTGGCCCCTTCTATCTCAAGATCCCCAGCTTAAGGGATTAGTGACCCCTTTTGTCTCCCTTATGGCACAGAGAGGTAAGAACCTCAAAGAGGTCCTCGTTCCCAGTCACTTTTCAACAAAAAAATCTCCAAGAATTGGCTCTCTGTACAGAGCACCTACCAATGTGGTAGATGCGTTGCATGCCAATACATGATGAAAACCTCAAAAATCCTATCGGATTCAAGGAGTAATCAAGTGTGCCAAGTTACACAATGTTTTAACTGTAACACCAAAGGATTGATCTATCTTTTGACATGTGTATGTGGTCTTAGGTATGTGGGGAAAACCATTCGCCCCTTTAAGAGGAGAGTGATGGAACACATACATTCAATCAAAAATTTCAGAGACACTCCAGTATCAAGACATATTAAGAGTGCTCATTATGGCAATACAGAAGGGATCAAGTTTGCAGGGATTGAAAAGGTGCAACTAGGTAACAGAGGGGGTGACCTGGATCGTACCCTCCTCAAAAGAGAATGTTTTTGGATCTATAGATTCAATACTCTGGCCCCCAATGGACTTAATGAAGGATTTACATTTACCCCTTTCATTGATAAATGAGTTATAAGGAGTGATATATTTTGTCGTCATAGCTAATGCAATATTTCTTCACCTATGTATGTCTTCACAAATTATCATTTTAATTATGGATTCTAGTGGTCCATACAATCGTGTCACTGTGACTCTTCTATAATCACATAAGTTATTGCATTCCTTATCATGTATTAGCAGGACCTTTATACCTTAATCTTTATATAGGTTTATACTCTCATGTCTATCACCATCCCATACTCTTAAATCTTTATTGATTGTCTATAAATAATTTGCTTTATAATGGTGGATATTGATAAACCAATAAGAAGTATGTAATGTCTTTATTTATTTATTATTTTTATTTTGGTATTGATATTGGGCATTGAAGTATGAGTCCTTTGTTAGACTCTACTATATTGGTGCAATGATTAATATGTATTGAAAACGGTCTACACAGGGTTAACTTTGTTCCCAGGTTCCAGCGATACGTACATAGGTGGACGGGACCTGCTCAAACGCCGATTATGGCGCGAACAGGAATTTACACTCCCCCTAATCCGATCGGTTTGTGCCGTGTATAAATACACTGGCCGTTATCGGACCACGGTTGATGCCTCTGAGGAAGGCGCTCTGAATAGTGCCGAAACGTGTGTTAGGCAGATAGAGGGGACACTTAGATGATTCAAATATTTAGCAAGTCATTTCATTTTTCCATTCTGGGGGTTGGTTTGTGGCAGAACGAGTGGTGCTCTCCTTTATGCAGTGTTCAACAGACTGTGGTCTAATTAGCAGATACTGGGATGGTATGTGGCAGAACGAGTGGTGCTATCTTTATTCATATATGCAGTGCTTAACAGATTGTGGTCTAATTAGCAGATAGAGGGAATACTTCTATATCTTGCTAAAGCTACTAGATACCAATTCAGATAGCAACTTCCTTATTGATTTTTGGTTTTATCTTCTCCTTCTATCTATATCATTAAAAAGAGACCATCAACACAGATATCCAAGAGTGGGGATTATACCACTTCACGCTCATCCTGTAGTGACACTTCCCAAGCTCTGGAACACGTGAGTGCACATCTGTCATTGGTTTTATCCTGTATTTTATATTGGATATACTGCACTATATACTTTATATCTCTCCTACATACCTACGAGAGTAACCATCACCACAGGAACCCACTGGAAGAGTTCCCACTCCACTATATCCTTAGGCAGGGATTATTCCACCCAGACGCTCAAATTGGAGCTACACCTTAGCTCCTTAACCCCTTAAGGACCAAACTTCTGGAATAAAAGGGAATCATGACATGTCACACATGTCATGTGTCCTTAAGGGGTTAAAAGTCCAAGTGTATTTATTTCTCCTTTTTATTTATTGGAACTGTTACGTACTATACTATCAGGTCTCAATTTTTCCCTTGTTTGTTTTATATGTGGTCCAAGGACACTTTGGGCGTTACCCCGTCCTGTGTTTTTATGAAATAAGACAAGATGAAACTTTCTAAAATAATGGCACTCAGTTTAAAATTAAAATATGTGTTAAGACACCCCCAGCGTCTTTAAATAAAGCCGCCGTTTAGTCGACCTTCCCCTGCTGCAGTACCAATAATCTCTGTTCGCATAACCGTAGTGCACGAACCAAACTCTGGGGAAGCGGCAATCTCCCGACCGGGATCAGTGAAAGGCTCCAACCTCCTGAACGGAACTCCACGAACTGCTGCTAGCCGCCGAACAATAATATCCACCAAGCGGCTTTCGGTTCCATCCAGCAGTCTCTAAACACAAATAATAAATCCCCCCAATAACGAGACAGAAGCTCCGCATTGAGGGTCAAACAGGATCTGGCTTTACCTGCCCATATTTATGCAGGTCTCCCACTTGGTGGACACTCCCCTAAGGGACCAAATGGGAGACTTAAATGACACACAGATATGGGGACATTCCAGACACATAGACACAGTTTTTACCCATAATGCACTATGATTCCCTCCCCTCTGCCCTGGAGATAATTACCAAGTAACTCAATTATCTCCAGGACAAAGCCAGTTGCCATTTTAAATATAAAATCATAAAAGACATAAAAATACATAACTTTAAAATAACCGAACATTTCCCATTCGTATCACATATCCCCAGATAGCCTGGATCTGAGTGCATATTATTAGCGAATAGCGCTCAGATCCCACACACATAGTTCAATCGCCATGGAGTCAAAGTTCTTACAGTCTTTTGGTATACGAATGACTCCATGGGAAGGCTATCTGGGTAAAGTCCTTTCGTATGCTTCAAACCTCCCGAACGGCCGGTATTCATATGCTTTCGTGGAGGCAGCCAGGCGTTCCGTTGTTTCAGTGTGGCAGAAAAAGTGTCCGTTTTTAGTTCCATAGAAATAGAGCCAAACACCGCTGGGCTTTCGCGTGGTTTAAAATGGCCGCTGCCTCGTGGTCGACATACAAACGACGACCACCCTGAATTAGTTTAATTGAGAAGTGTCTGCGGTTAACCACAACGTTCTAATTGGGATCAATAGGTTAACCAGCAGCACACTTCTCTCTTGGGTGGCCGTCCGTTCGGTAGGTTTGTTCGGGAAAAAACAGTAATTCGTATGGCTGGGCTATAGAAACAGCCATTTACACGAAAGGGGGCAGAAATAGACGAATCCACCAGCAATAAGCAGACAGATGGTTCTGTCACAATATGATTACACAAACACAAGTCATCATGAAGAATAAAACGCTATTCCAGCTAAATGTTCATATTATATTTAAAAGGACACTCCCCTGCCCAAATACAAAATAAATAAAAATAACTTTTTAGTAGATATGCTCCAAAAGAAAATTTGCATGCATTTAATTATGCATTCTTTTTTTAAATTGGGGGTCAATTTTAAAAACAGCTTGCAAAACCTGCAGTTCTATTGTCTGTTGCATTTGCAAACCCTCTCCTTCTAATACTACCCAGACTTTCTGTGGCTGACCAATCACAGACATCCCAATGCAGCTCAATGAGAACTCTTTGCAAGGCAGGTATCAGAAAGTAAAAGGACCCGTTGTCTGCTTGAAAGCTAAAGGGTGTAACCGGGTTAATTTTATAAAAGTGTATATTTCTGTTGAAGCCTGCACTTTTTTCAAAATGAAGAAAAGAGGACACAATCTTTAAACATACGTCTTTTCAGCAACTGCATTAGGGCTCTGAAGTGTCCCTTTAAATAAATTTAAAATTTGATTTTGAAAAGCCACACTGTGGCCTACAGCATGCATTTGGTTTTTATATAGTAAAAACAGTTGTTTTATAATGTTGAAACAAGAATTTTATTCAATATAGTTATCCAAATTTGGATGCACACAAGTTTATTCTCAAGGTTATTCAAAATGATAATTCAAGGTGAATTGAAAGTGAATTTCAAATTTAAGATCAAAATAGCCAAACTAAGAAAAAAAAATTGAATTTGGTGGGGGGCAGAGCCATGCTACTGAAATGAGCGGTCACAGATTAACAGATTTATTTAACCAATCATTGTTAACAGGAGTAGTCCCAGAAGATTGGAAGTTAGCGAATGTTGTGCCCATTCGCAAGAAAGATAGTGGGGAGGAGTCGGGCAACTATAGGCCAGTAAGCCTTACTTCAGTAGTGGGGAAAGTAATGGAAACCATGTTAAAGGATAGGATTGTTGAACATCTAAAATCACAAGGATTTCAAGATCAGAGACAACATGGGTTTACTTCAGGGAGATCATGCCAAACTAGTCTTATTGATTCTTTTGATTGGGTAACTAAAATAATAGATCAGGGTGGTGCAGTAGACATTGCTTACCTAGATTTCAGTAAGGCTGTTGACACTGTTGCACATAGAAGGCTTATCAATAAATTGCAATCTTTGTTTGGGTTCCAATATTGTTGAATGGGTAAGGCAGTGGCTGAGTGACAGGCAACAGAGGATTGTAGTCAATGGAGTATATTAGAAGTATGGACGTGTCAACAGTGGGGTACCTCAGAGATCTGTACTTGGACCCATTCTCTTTAATATTTTTATTAGTGATATTGCAGAAGGTCTTGATGGTATGGTATGCCTTTTTGCTGATGATACTAAGATATGTAACAGGGTTGATGTTCCAGGAGGAATAAGCAAATGATTTAGTTAAACTAGAAAAATGGTCAGAGTTGTGGCAACTGACATTTAATGTGGATAAGTGCAAGAAAATGCATCTTGGACGTAAAACCCAAGGGCAGAGTACAGAATATTTGATAAAGTCCTAACCTCAACATCTGAGGAAAGGTATTTAGGTGTGATTATTTCTGTTGACTTAAAGGTAGGCAGATAATGTAATAGAGCAGCAGGAAATACTAGCAGAATGCATGGTTGTTTAGGGAGAGGAATTAGCAGTAAAAAGAGGGAAGTGCTCATGCCATTGTGAAACCTCACTTGGAGTATTGTACGAAGTACTGGAGACCGTAACTCCAGGATTTTGATACTTTAGAAAGAGTTCAGAGAAGGGCTGCTAAACTGGTTCATGGATTGCAGGATAAAACTTACAAGGAAAGGTTAAATGAACTTAACATGTATAGCTTGGAGGAAAGACGAGACAGGGGGGATATGATAGAAACATTTAAATACATAAAGGGAATCAACACAGTAAAGGAGGAGACTATATTTAAAAGATGAAAAACTGCCACAACAAGAGGACATAGTCTTAAATTAGAGGGACAAAGGTTTAAAAATAATATCAGGAAGTATTACTTTGCTGAGAGGGTAGTGGATGCATGGAATGGCCTTCCAGCTGAAGTGGTAGAGGTTAACACAGTAAAGGAGTTTAAGCATGCGTGGGATATGCATAAGGCTATCCTAACTATAAGATAAGGCCAGGGAGTAATGAAAGTATTTTAAAAAATTGGGCAGACTAGATTGGCAGAATGGTTCTTATCTGCCGTCAAATTCTATGTTTCTGTGTTTCTATGTCCCCTGAAAACCACCTCTAAATCAGGCACCTGCAGTCTCTAGACCAGATTCGGCACCGGTAACAAAAGCCAATATGCAGGAGTTGCTGGCGGGCCTACGGAGAGACATCCACGCAGATATGACCACATTCCACAAAGACCTACAAGGCCTGACAGTCCGCACAGGCACCCTGGAAGACGACTCCCAAAATGCAAAGGCGCAACTCACCCACCTGCAACAAGAGATACACATGCTCCAAAAGCAACAAGTCATCATGGAGTAGCGGTTCGCAATGCTCGAAGACTCCAGGCGCAATAAGAACCACAAAATCACGGGGGTGGCAGAGGCAGTTCCTGAAGCAGAGCTGCTGCACTTTCTAAGATGACTACTCAGTGCGATACTCTGACCCAAGCAGGCAAAATTGATACTGATCGAGGGAATGTTTAGGATCCCAAGACCGATTAAAGCACCTGCCACAGCATCAAGGGACTTGACAGTAGTAATGGGTGCTCTCAGGGGAAAATCTCTCTACAGCTTTGAAGACTCATGACTCATTTTACGCAGATTTATCAGGGAGCACCCTCGCATGGAGAAAAACGCTGCAGCCCTTCACGGCACTATTACAAGCGTGCAACGTCTCTTACCAATGGAAGAAATCTCACACGCTGGTTGTACTGCAGGGCAACACCTCCTACCAAGTCCAAGACCTTGCAGGAGCGGTGGCTATTTTGGAGACTCTGGGTCTCCCACAAGACTCTCTCACTAACAGGGGAACAGCGAAAACGGCCAGAACACATTCCTGGCATCCGGCAAATACAGCCCCATTTGTGCCCTGGAGGCCTTCTGCAGATGTCTACGCTGCGGTCACCACCAGGAAACTTCCACTGTGGGTCTTCTAGACTAGACCTCTACCAGATACGGCACACTGTATGCATACTATGAGGCTGGATACAGTTCTGGTTTAGTTGACTGTTTAATTGTCTGTTTTCTTTTATGTTTAACTCACCAAAGCCTGTACTGTTGCTATGCACTATCAAGAGACAACACATAGGCAAACCCCATACATGGGTCCCCCCAAGTGGTCACCTAGGGGTCAGTGGCAACAGGCATAGTGGAGCGGTGCCAACTATCTTTCCCTTACCCTGCAGCAAACCTTAGTCGCACTGCCCCACACCAGGGAGCCGCCCGACGTTAGTTACCCATAAAGCCACCAGATAACGGAGGGCACACACTCCGTACCCCACCAGGGCACACTGCTACCCCAATACCCTAAGAGCAAACCATAGCACCCCTACATACCCAAGACCTGGGGTCCACAAACCAAAAGAGGAATAGAGGCCCCATACTCAGTGGGCTACTGCAGGTCACTAAGACTTAACAGACTACCCCACTGTAAATCCTAAATTAACTCCAGTACACAAACACTTTGCGAATAGAATTTCCCTTATGTACGCTAATATATAAAAGGTGCCATAGCATATATACGCTTATTGTACGTGTTATGATGACTAGTGGTTAACTCATGCCTGCATAAATGTTAGTTGTTATATCTGTGCACCCAAAAATGAAAAATAAAGAATTTAAAAAAAAATAGCCAAACTATAAAAAATCAGCCATGCTTTCAGTTCAGCTAGTTTGGCCTTAAATTTGGTATTGCCTATATTGACCTAAAATCAGAAATTCACTTTGAATTTACTTTGAATTGTCAACGATTCATTGTCTACTAAAAATGCTTGTACTCTTTTACTCTATTAGCTATACTTAAGAAATTGGATAATTGTTATATATTCTGTTTTTGCCACATAATAAAATGCAGCAAGTAGAAATTCAGGAAGCGTGTAATAGTACTAGTCCATTTATCGCAAATATCAGAAATTACTGAGTTAGTACAGCTTTTCTACCTTTCTTGTTCCAAAGGTTCATTCCCTAAACAGCAGGTTTTTGGGTTAGATTAACTATGCATGATGTTGAATAGAACTTGGCAAAATTGATTTGGTGTCTAGTGACATTTTAACCCCTTAAGGACACAACTTCTAGAATAAAAGGGAATCATGATGGAATATTTCCGTCATGTGTCCTTAAGGGTTTAACCCCTTAAGGCCGGAGGGTGTACAATTACGCCCTATTTTAGGCGGCTCTAAACGCCACCGGGCGTAATTGTACGCCCTCCGGTCTTTTCTTACTTACCCGGTTCTTTTCTTACTTTTTACTGTTTTGAAACACAAATATTTGTGTTCAGCGAAGTCTCCTGAGTACAACAGTACCCCTCATGTACAGGTTTTATGGTGTTTTCAAAAGTTACAGCGTCAAATATAAGGCTTGCGTTTCATTTTTTTCACATTAAAATTCGCCAGATTGGTTACGGTGCCTTTGAGACCCTATGGTAGCCCAAGAATGAATATTACCCCTATGATGGCATACCATTTGCAATAGTAGACAACCCAAGGTATTGCAAACGGGGTATGTCCAGTCTTTTTTAGTAGCCACTTAGTCACAAACACTGGCCAAAATTGGCGTTTTTTGCATTTTTCACACAAACAAATACTAATGCTAACTTTGGCCAGTGTTTGTGACCAAATGGCTACTAAAAAAGACTGGACATACCCCATTTGCAATACCTTGGGTTGTCTACTATTGCAAATGGTATGCCATTATGGGTGTAAATTTCATTCCTGGGCTACTATAAAGTCCCAAAGGCAACGTAACCAATCTGGCGAATTTCAATTTCAATTGTAACGTGCTATATTTGACCCTGTAACTTCCCAAAACGCCATAAAACCTGTACATAGGGGGTACTGATTTTCACGTGAGACTTTGCTGAATACAAATATGTGCATTTTATTGCAGTAAAAGCAAACAGTATTAAGACATTGACAGTTAAAATGTCATGTAGAACTAAAAAAATCTAAACAAATCTTATTTTCTCCCATTTTTTTCATATTAAATTATGTTTCATAGCTAAATATTTGATATTAAATGAAAGCCCTGTTTCCCCTGAATAAAATGATATATAATAAGGGTGGGTGCATTTAATATGAAAGAGGTGAATTACGGTTGGACAGACATGTAGCGCAAATGCCAGGTTTTGTTTACATTTTGTTTCGTTCACAACGTGTACATTTGGCTCCTTCCTTAAGGGGTTAAAGTGCAGTTTCCAGCCAAAACAGACAACAAAAGAAAATCAGGGTCTGTAGAGACAGACTAAGCAGAAGAAAAATATGATCAGAATAAAAATGTAGTTTTTGAATGTAGATATGTAGAATGTAGAGCCTATATCTTAAAATCTGATATTCATTTTAATATTTACTAAAAGTTGGGTATTTTATAAAGTACTCTAAAAGTCTAAGAAAACATAAATAAAAACAGAAACATTTACTGACCAGTTTCAAAACAAGCGAACACTGACATGCATGTTCAATATACAATATGTTTTATGATTTTTTTTCTCTTGTATTTCTTGTATTTTAATACATTCTTATTAAAGGTTACAAGTTATTTCTATATTATAAAATATATTTTCAAAACTATTAAAAAAAATAAAAATAATGAAACACAGTATAAATCTCACAGCAAAAATGTAAATATGAAAGACTGGACCAGATCTTATTAAAATGCATTTCGCCTGACAAATGATTTCACTGTATCAAATTGAACTGACTTTATTATAACGAAATAAAGTAACGGCATCAGCAGAATAGCATTACGGAGTTATTTTGTCAGATCAATAATCTGCTGACAGTTCATCAAGTCAGCAACCCAGCAACGCACCACAACATTTATATATACTGACATATTCTGCTCATTAAAAGGATGCACTTTGATAAATCAGTAGCCAATGACTGTAACCCGGCAACTTAGAAATTATAGTTATTGAGTATTCCCACAGATACAATTTAAGATTTTTTATTTTTTTTAATACCTTCTGAAAATGAGTTTGCTGTGGTTAGTTGGCACACTTAGTCTTCCTTATTTGGCACAGAAAATGAATGAACAGTTATTTTTTGTATATTTTTATATAACTAAAGCAAAACATGTCTTACCTCAATCTTATAAAATAATCTGTTCTTGTTTTCTCAAAATAGCCTTGCCCATAGGAAATGCATGAAGCACCATATAACACATTAGAGAAACTGAATTGTATTTGTATATATATATACAAACAAAATAGGTCAAGGGAGCACACTAGGTCTTCAGTTTAGTGAGGCAAAGTTATTTAATGTATCATAAAAAATACATAGGCTGTGAAATGCACAAAAATCGACGTTTCAACCCTCCTGAGGTCTTTATCAAGATCACGTAAAACAAAATAATATATATATATCTACATACATAAATATATACATATATATCACTATATATATACCTATATATAAATAAAAATATTTTAAAAAAATTATATATATATACACATATAGATTCACATACGTATATATACTTATATATTTCTCTAAGATTGTAAAGGAGGAGTGCATTGCTTATTTATTTTATATATATATACCAAAAATACAAGTAGCTCCTGCACTCACGCTTCAATGTCCCTTAATGGCCGGGTGCCAACCAAAGACAGCGTCAATATCCAAGAAAATCCAAATGTATGGCTGCACTCACGGTTTAAAAGTCCAAAGTTTAATGAAAAAACGGTTTAAAACATCAAGTGATCAACGTTTCAGTCATATAAGACTTTCATCACTTTCATATGACTGAAACGTTGATCACTTGATGTTTTAAACCGTTTTTTCATTAAACTTTGGACTTTTAAACCGTGAGTGCAGCCATACATTTGGATTTTCTTATATATATATATATATATGTGTGTATGTGTGCATTTGTATATGTGTATACACACATATACCTATATAACTCTCTGTGTAAATTTATATTTATATATATATTTAAAGTAGAGTTTCATTTGTCAGGTTTCAGACCCGTGATAAGTAAATATAATA